CACTTTGCGCCCAGCGGCAACAAAGTTCGAAAAAGCTAATTTTTAGCATTGTTAAAGGCACTTTGAAAGTTTACGCACTTTGAAAATTTTTTTCAAAGTGCGTTAAATTTGAGACCAAATCAACGCACTTTGAAAAAATAAAATTTCTTTTCAAAGTGCGTTACTATCGACCATATTAACGCACTTTGAAAAAATGTGTATGGCTTGGTCAATATTCTTGCAAATCTTATTAAGTATGATAAATAATTGAACCTGTTTGATAACTCTTCGGTTATGAGGTCACTTCAGGATGTGAAAGTGAGCTATTTTGATTTTTCCATGCTTTGAGAATTATTTCTCTTTTTTAAAAATGTTTTACTTATTTTTTTCCCCAGTTTGTATGCATTTTATGTAAACTAAAATTTATTGAAAGTTTTCAACGTCATACGTTATGCAAATACATAGACTAGTTGTAGAATAGGCATCGGTACCGGGGGAGGGGGGGGGGGGGCTTAGGCAAAGATATACATAATATAGGCATTGACATTGAGGCTTACTTTGGGGGGTTCGCTTTCAATTTGCTACCGACGGTTATGCACAACGAATGATGAAAAAAGTTAAGCTGAGAGACCTTCTACTCGTCTTCTCCTTGTTCTCAATGACGTTAAATGAGTGCATGTAAATTAAAAAAGTTTTTATGCGCCCGGATCGATAGATCCGAGGCGTATATTGTTTTTGTCCTGTCTGTTTGTCTGTTTATCTGTTTGTTTATCTGTTTGTCTGTCTGTCTGTTGTCAACTTTAACCTTCGCCATAACTTTTGAACCATGAGAGATAGAGACTTCATATTTGATATGCATTCTTGACCAATAAATCTCTTTTAAATGGCACCAAGGTCAATGACCTTGTGACCTTGACTGTGACCTATGGGCTAAAAATAACTTTTTCGAACTTTCGCCGTAACTTTTGAACCATGAGAGATAGAGACTTCATAAATGATATGCCTACTCCACTAATAAATCTCTTTCAAATGACATCAAGGTCATGACCTTGTGACCTTGACTGTGACCTATATGCTATTAATAGCTATTTAGACTTTTCGCCATAACTTTTGAACCATGAGAGATAGATACTTCATATTTGGTATGCCTATTCCACTAATAACGTTCTTTCAAATGACACCAAGGTCGATGACCTTGTGACCTTGACTGTGACTTATCCGCAAAAAATAGATTTTTTGAAGTTTGTTACCGCCGGGTGCATAGTGTTTCACAAACACATCTTGTTTGAAAGATATAATTATCACAAAACGATTCTCTCAATTATTAGAATCTAAAAAGTTTTTTTTAATACAGATTCTTTTTCAAAGTGCGTTAAATGTCCCCGTGGTAAAAAAATGTTAATGTACACTCTTAACGCACTTTGAAAAAAATTTTCAAAGTGCGTTGAGTGTGTCCCAAATTTAACGCATTTTGAAATTTTTTTTCAAAGTGCGTGGATTTTGTCCCAATTTTAACGCACTTTGAAAAAATTTTTCAAAATGCGTATTTTTTTTTCAATGTGCGTTGTCACATAGCATATAGGTCACAGTCAAGGTCAAAAGATCATTGACTTTGGTGTCATTCAAAAGAACTTAATAAGAGGAGTATGCATACCAAATATGAAGTCTCTTTCTCCTTTGGTTCAAAAGTTATGGAGAAAGTTCGAAAAAGCTATTTTTAGCATAGAGGACACAGTCAAGGTAACAAGGTCATTGATCTTGGTGTCATTTGAAAGAGCTTAATTAGTGGAGCATGTAAACCAAATATGAAGTCTCTATCTCTCACGGTTCAAAAGTTATGGCGAAGGTTAAAGTTGACAACAGACAGACAGAGAGACAAACAGAAGACACAGACAGGACAAAACAATATACGCCAGATCTTTCGATCCGGGCGCATAGAAATAATGTCGGAAATGAATTTTAAAAATGTTGGAAATAAACCCTGAATTTTCTTCAGGATTTGAACGTTTTAAAAGGTCGAGATAATTGACGAGTGTTGACGTGGAGTATGACCTCAGAGTCTTAACATAATTTTTATGAAAGTCAAAATAAACACAGTTGTGATAGACATGATAAAGCTATTGGCGTATCTGAGCTAAAAAATAAAAATACCAGATTAAGGTGTTTGGCTTCTGACATTAAAAATAATTGAAAATGATTTTTTTCTTTTTTAATTGTAAGAATAAACATAATAAATTATTTTAAGCCAGAAAAATGCATATGAATATGATTTAATTTTCAAGCTATAGGTGTTCCTGACAAAGGGAGGTAATTCTCTCATTTTAGTAAAGAAAAAGACCAAATTTGTGTCCAACATATTTAATATTTATTTTAAACTATGAAATGTTTTCAAATCATTCCAACCTTTTGCTATCTTTTAAAAGTAGTCATAGGGAATATAAATATTGATAAAATAATAATGATAATTGATAGAAGATAAAATTTAATTCTTATCAAAAAGCACACACCCTCATACAAAAAAATGCCTTTTTTTCCTTTCACAGGGCTTATAAAATGAGCTTGGAAAATAAATTAGAAATAATTAACAAGTATTTTTTTTTCTATATATTTGTTACTTAGATGAAGTGCTTTCAAATGGTGTAAAAAATTGTATATCAATATGAGTTACTTTTAAAGATATTTTAACTTGAATTTCCTCTGACCCATTTTTCTCAAATTTTGACCAGAGGAAATTCGGATTGATTCTGTTTGCCTCTTCCATGATTTTGGGGGATTTTCTATTTGCCTAAATGAATAAGTGTATTGAAACTCAATCTTTTTCTTTAAAAGAAAAGGGACATTTCATTTTTTTGGGGACTATTTAAGACTTGTGGGGGGGGGGGGGGGGGGGTTAATATCTATTTTCATGCCCACTCACATTACCTGAGGATAATTCTTTAATAGTTTGACTAATCATGGCTTTGCCTGTTCTGAGTTGAGAGAATTTTACAGACATTTCAAATATTTTTCTATGCATACTTTGCTCCACTTGTGGGCCATCCATCCCCCAGGAATTATTGAATATAGGGTATGTAATGAAGCTAAATTTCACGTAAATGTCATCTTTTCTTCAGTGGTTCTTCAGAAGATTTTTGAATAATGCCACCAAAATTCTTAATTACCCCCCACTTCAAGAGGGCGAGACACTTCCTATGAACAAAGTTAAATCCCTTTAATTGAAATTGGGCCAGTTGGTCTTTCAAAGAAATAAAATATATCAAACTTTACACACCCCAGACAAAAGACCGATTGCCAGACAATCTTTGATCAGAAAAGCTCACTCGGACTTCCGTGTCAGGTGAGCTAAAAACCACCACATAGTAATCATTTCACTATAAACGTTTCACAGCAAAATTCCAGTTATTGAAAATGAAGGGAATAAAAAAAAAGACTAAATGAATGTTTTGAACTACTAGTTGTACCAATAACAGCTAGTTGAATTTGCATCATGCAATGTAAATCTCTCTTGATTTCATTGTATCAAACAAAATGTTCTTTATTCAAGATGAAAAATGATCAACTATTTAACTTTATTCAGATCCATGTTCCTTGTGATAGAGATCTATCAAATTGTTACCTTTACAAGTAACATACAACATTTTTATATACTGTAAACATTAGATTTTTTGTGCCTTTGACAGAAAACTGCTGTTGCTATATCAAGAACATCGCTAACTTTATGACCTGCGTATTTATAAGTACACAATAAAAATTTTGCTAGAAATCAAACCTAGCCCGATTGTTGAAAAATAGATTACTGCCAAGTATAGGTCATACACAATATTAAACATTTACAGAATGTCCTTTCATATTCATTTGTGCATGTTTCAATTTAATATGCACATAGTCTTCTTCAATAAATATCAATGAACACCTTTTAATTTTTCATGTATGCTCAAAATATGGGTAATGAAAAGAAATTGTTGTCAATTTCTAAATAAGGATTTATTTTGAATGGAAAGAAAATGTTTTGTTCAACTACAAACTACCTATAACAATAAACATTGAAAAAAACAATAGTACATGGCATAATTATACCCCTGCTCTGAAGCACAGGGTTTATACTGTTTTTCTTTCTACACTTGTGTGTCTTTCTGTCAGTAACAAATTTTTGTCCGATTTTTCTCAGCAATCACTCATCATGCTCAATTGCTCATCACAGATGCTTTAAGTTTTAGTACACTCTTTCTTTAGCCATGCCGTATGTTGGAATTGGTTTTAGACGAATCTGATGTCAACTTCCTGATTATCTGTGCATCTGTCTGTACCACAAATAGTAAATTTTTGTCACAGTTTTCTCCAAAACAACTCATCACATTTGGAATTGGTTTTAGACGAATCTGATGTCAAATTCCTGATTATCTGTGCATCTGTCTGTACCACAAATAGTAAATTTTTGTCACAGTTTTCTCCACAACTACTCATCACAGTTGGAATTGGTTTTAGACGAATCTGATGTCAACTTCCTGTTTATCTGTGCATCTGTCTGTACCACAAATAATAAATTTTTGTCACAGTTTTCTCCACAACTACTCATCACAGTTGGAATTGGTTTTAGACGAATCTGATGTCAACTTCCTGTTTATCTGTGCATCTGTCTGTACCACAAATAACAAATTTTTGTCACAGTTTTCTCCACAACTACTCATCACAGTTGGAATTGGTTTTAGACGAATCTGATGTCAACTTCCTGTTTATCTGTGCATCTGTCTGTACCACAAATAATAAATTTTTGTCACAGTTTTCTCCACAACTACTCATCACAGATGCTTGAAATTTTTTAGACATGAAATATGGTTGGATTCATTTTTGTACGAATCCATTGTCAATTAACTTTGTTTATTCCTGTCTGTCCATATTCACATCAGAGTGAGGGTATTACTAGTGAGCACTGGCTCACAGAAATCAAACAAACAAACAAACAAACAAACAACCAAACAAATAATAACATAGTTACATACAAAGAACATCATACAACTGCGTTACTGCTCAGATCTGAGAAAATCTGCAACAGAATCAATGATTTTTCTAGATTTTGTCACACGCACACTGTTATCTGTTATCTCTGTCAGCACATCCTGTACTCCCTCCCTACCATTTCTGCGATAAGCCAGTTGTAAGTGTGATAAGGAGAGTCCACTGCTGGCAATCTTATTTCCCATTCCATTCGAAATCACCTTTTGGTCCAATAAAGGCTTTAGTGTGCTCATTAGACTTTTTGTTGTGTTCTTGTGATGGAATATGGCAAAGGCAGAGTTTGAAGTGAAAGATGCAGCAAGTTTGACTTCAGGGGAAGGTCCTGTATGGTCCAACAATCTCTTCAAGGCTAAGACATCCTGTAATGAGTCATGCGCACTGTATTTGTCTTGTAGAATTTCTTCGAAGAGGTGTAACTGTGAGTATGATGAAAGGTTTGGATGCGAAATTTTGAAAAGAGGTAAGGTATCAATGAAACCAATGACTGCAGATGAGAATGCCTCCAAAATGTTTAATTTACTCAAAATGTTGAACAGCACAGGAAGGTCAAACACTTTGGAGTTGTGTCCAACTAGAACAGCATCTGACTCCGATTTCTTCATGAAGTCTATAAACTGGATCAGTGCATCCTTAATGCTGACTGTCTCAACTTCCTCATCATTGTGGTACATTTTATTGTTGACTACTTTTATTCCAGTAATTTCTGTAGCTTTTGAGGACATTGGTTTTTCTGGAATGATGTATTTGTTGAAAACCTCATCATTTCTAACTGCAGACAACTGCACAATATGAGAATCCCTTGCTAAAAATAAAAAACAAATAATTTAATTTTGATTGTAACGCATCATTTGATTGGATAAAAAATTAATCTAAATTGTATAATCTGGTTTGCTTACGTCACAATGACTTACATCAAATTGTATCAATCCGCTTGACGTTACGTTTAAAATATGAACTATTTGAAGGCGTTATAAAGAGAAAATTTGTCTTGTTTTATATTCTTGATGATTGAAAATTAAATCATAAGGAGTGAATTAAATGGCAACCCAAATTATACTGCTACAACCTGGGTTGGAGCAGTTTACGCTTTTTTATAAACCGCTTTGAGGTTTAGAAAGCGTAAACTGCCCCAACCCAGGTAATACAGTATAATTTGGGTTGCTATTTAATTCATTCCTTAAGTAAATTCAAGTTTTTAAAATTAAAAGCATTAAAAAAAATACATACAAAAATTGATATATTGTAAATGTATTATATTTAGCATGTATGATATTTGGCAGAAATTGACTTTTGAATAAGTAAGCGTAGATTTGATTTAGCGCACTTCTTCATTTTCTTCTTTATGTGTATATGTGCAAGACATTTAGCGTTGTACTTGATTTAGCGGTTGCTGCGTTTCGCCAAATCCGCTATTAGAATACACAGCCAAATGTAATCCGTTTACAGTATGCATGATTTAAAAAATTTTGAAACATTATAATAATAGTAACCCTCTTCCCCAAGACTTAACTCCATCAAAGATGCTTGAATTCTTTCAGAATATGCAATTTCTTTTTAATCAGTGTCCTCAGAAGGAAGGGTAAAGTTTTGAAAGATATAAAACATGCTCAACTACTTGTACCAATATCGGAATTATGCAAGAGTCTCCATTTCTATTCGTTTTCTATGATAACTCTAGTATTATTCCTTCAAAATGCATACAAAAGAAATACCGGAAGAGGGCCATAACCATCAGCATTGACTTAACATTTAAATCTAGGTTCTTACCGAGTCCAGTAGTTTCCAAATCAAAATAGATCTCTTCAGCATTTAACAGCTGACTTGAAGGGAGATGATCATACTTTGGAATTGTTTTTGGAGCTGGAATTTCAACGATGTCAGAGGCCTGCTGGAGATCACATCCTGTTAAATAACTGATGCCTTCCCTTGTTTCTTTTGTAGAAATACTTTGAATTCTGTAAAGAAGATGTATACTGTAAAACAAATGATTCTAAACTGAGGTCTTACAAAAGGCCTAGCAAAATAAACAATCACCTAATGTACAGCTAATAAATTAGGAGTTGTAAATAAATGAAAATCCTGAGCACATCGGCAAGGAAAGAGCACAAAGTAGACCAGAATAGAAAAGTTATGGTACATGTAATTTACTGAAAGGGGGGGGGGCTTAAATTTTATCACTACTTAAGAATGCCTCCATATCAATACAGCATATAACTTTTTTAACATTTTGTTCGTATATATTACTTAGTAATAATTTGAATTTGATTCCCCACTGTTTCCCTCCCTACCACAAAGGATCAGGATTTAAACAAATTTAAATCTTCAATACATGAGGATGTTTACATTTCCATATGACTAAACATAGCTTCTCTTTTTTTTTCAGGGGGGGGGGGGGGGGGGGGGGGGGGATTTAAACAATCTAGAATCTACACTACCTGAGGGGGGGATTTTTTCCTATGTAAAACTTTGATCCACCATGTATGATTTGAAAAAAAAAAATTAATTCTACTTTACCTGAGGATGCTTCCATATTAATATCACCAATCATAGCTTTGCTATTCTTGAGAATTTTTAAAAAAAATATATTGTACTGTAAAATGCAATTGTGGCCCCACCCTATCCCTGGGGGTCATGATTTAAACAATCTAGAATCTACACTACCTGAGGATGATTTCATATCAATATCACTTATCATGGCTTTGCAGTCCTTGAGAAGATTTTTAAAGATTTCAAATTCTCTATATATTCCTGTGTAAAACTTTGATTGGCTATGTGGTCCCACCCTATCCCCCAGGGTCAAGATTTGAACAAACTTGAATCTACACTACCTGAAGATGATTCCATATGAGTTTCATCTTACCTGGCCCAGTGGATACTAACTTTGTAGCAAGTTTGGTTGAAATTGGCCTAGTTGTTCTTGAGAGGAAGATGAAAATGTGAAAAGTTAATGACAACAGATACATTTTTATCAGTAAAGCTCACTTGAGCTTTCCGCTAAGGTGAGCTAAAAAACTGGGTATGTAGGTAGGTAAAATTTTTATTTTAAGATTGCAGCAAAGCAATATGCCCTCCCTTCTTTGAAAAAAATATTTATCAAACCATGCTATTTATAACAAGCATACCGTAAATCTTTGGTGATTCAGAAAACAAATCTTAGTAACATGCAAGATATTAATTCCCACTTAAATTCATACTTATCATCATTCACTTGTTCTTGGTTTATTTTCATTTTTGAGGTTGACAAAAGGTTTTTTACACCTGACAAATGACAATCAAAGTATACTAGTACGTACTTCCTGGCTTTCAATTCTCTCCTTCTCCTTTTAAATTTCTGTGTCACTGAAATGGCCTTCTGTCGCTTTCTTTGTAAATCCCTCAGAATGCACTGTCGTCGAGTATAGTAGCCAGGAGAGAGGCCCAATTTCTTGTTAACCTTTAATAAGGATAAAAGAATCTATTATGTACAACTACAATGTACATACATATACAATACAATCTGCTTTTGATTAAAATTTGCAGAATTTTCAAATGTAAGAGATAACTTGAGTGGTTCAACTCAGATATGACACAATAAGCATGAAAAAATAAAAATTTACAAACCTTTACAAGATATCTGTGTCCAACATTTTTCTGGGCTACACATGCAGCAACTCTATATCTGAGGCTTGAAGAAGAGCTGTAATGATGGGTCTTTGGGGCTTTTGCAGACACCATTCTGTGAAAACTCTCATTCGACTGTGTGCTTCCTAAGCATGAAAGACGATCAGAATGACTTGCATATGAACTGAAGACTTCTTTCAGATCATCCTGAAGGAACCTATCTTTCAGGGGTTTTCCATGTGGAAGTGACTTGTACCTCAGGTTAGGGTTGTTAATGAAGTTGCACCACCTTGAGGAGCAGTGTTGGTGATCTCCAAATATGTGTAATGGAATTGATGAAAGGTCTTCTTTGATTTGAGAAGCATTTCCTTTTCCCTGTGCTATGGAGTAACTGAAGCATTTCTGAATGTACTTTATCACAGACAAAGTTAGAGATGAATGTTTTTTCTTCAAGGTAAACAAAGAGTTTGTAAACAGTTTCTTTAGATGATTTTTATCAGACAACTTCTTAATATCAGCATTGACATTAGCTTTCAGTCTTGCAATAGTGGTAGAGTCCTCATCTCCAATGATTCCATCAATGGTTATTCCTTTACTTTTCTGTAGATCTTGGACCATCTCAATAACCATATCTGCCTCCATGGCCTTTGAACTACCCTCCCAATTCTTTGAGCACTCATGGGCTGCTGGATTCTTGTTGGTTGATTCAGCTACACTGCATACTCTGCAATTCTTAGACCTCAGAGAGTATGACAATACTTTGTCGGAGAGAGGACCAACCATGGAACAATGACCTGAAAAATTACAAATTAGAAAAACTGTATAACTTATAGATGTATTCGTTGTTTTTATTAAAGCATTTTTCATGCATTTCTTAACTTAATAAAATGTATGTCTTAATACTTTGGCAAGGAAAATCAAACTCGATCACTGATGTTACATGTATGCATTTGGTAATAACCTTTAACCCCTTTAGTCAGCAATGAACCTGTGCGTCCAGTGCACTATAGCATAATTAGGTCAAATATTTATTTTTCATGAGGGGTGCTGTATAATTAATGCAAATCGTTCAACTTTAAAAAAGTAAACAGTTGCTATAAAACGTGTTTGCAGGATGCAATAGGGACCAAATTCCTACTTCTTTGAAGTTAGTGTTCTAATTATTGACAATGCTTTGGTAAATAATGTTTCTAATAAGTGTCGTTAAAAATTGGTTGTGTGTCATAGAGCGATTAGCGAATACGCTAACTGTGTAAAATCACCTAATATTTTAATATTTTGATTTGACTCATTATGACTCTTAATGATTTTTCTCCTATATATATTCCCGTGTAAACATTATATCCTTTTTTGGCTCCATTATCCCACCTTGGGTCCATATTTCGAACAAAACTGAATATGCTTTACCTGCATGAGCAACATAACTATTCATGGCTGTTCTTTAGAAGAATATTTTACAATTTATATGGACAGTTGAACTTTGAGATATGTGTCTTTCTAAATTTATTGCATCTGTTTGCATACATATTTAATGGAATCAAGTCCTAAGCAAACTTAATGCATAGTTTATGTTGGGCACAAGCGGAAAGTAATCACTCTAATCATCAATATTTTTTTTTATTTTCCTAAAATTTGTCTACTGTAGAAGCATAAATTTTCGTGGGCATAAAATTTTGTTGTTTTGACATCAAAAATAATCTCGTCGTTGTTTTAAAACTAACCCTAGGTCTAAAAAAAATATGTTTGTTTCCTGTAACCCGACCGACCCATTCAAATTACCCCCCGGGTGAATTTTTTTTCTGACAAATGGCAAAACTTCGTTAGATCAATCAGCTGATTCCATTTATTAAAAAAAGAAAATTAGCTTGTAGCTTAACTTGAGACATAAAATATGTCAACCTAGTTTACATTTAAGTTTGATTAGTTATAAAGAGTAATCATTGTTATAACAACAATTTCCCCCTACAACTTTCTGAAGATCGTTTTCTGCCGCTAGGCAGCCATTTTGGATGCCATGTTGGGTGTCCACTGTAAATATGACACCTGGTATATTGAGTCCAGGGATGTTTGACAATTCATAAGAAAAAAAAAAATCCCGACCTACCGACCCTTAATTTTTTTGGAATGTTACAGGAAACAAACATATTTTTTTTAAAGCCCTATTCAATATATAGTCATATAAAATTTCGTGTGGGATTTAATTTTGTTGAATTTTGTTAACGGAATAAACAAAATTTAATCCCCCCGAATATTTGTGCTTTTACAGTATTTTTACCTGATAAACTATCATATGTCTTTCCGCTACCCCGTTTTTGCCATCCAGCATCTACAGCAACAACTAGTCCATTTTCGTTCATCTCTCTGAAAAATAGTTAAATAACAGACATCAGTTATTAACTGTGAACCTGTCTCCTTTAGAACACCCCGTAATGTGCATAACATTCTGCATATTTATCAACACAAATTATACTGTATATGACTAAACCTTATATTTATCAGTATATCAGATTCTATTAACTTCATCACTATCAATTATTATTAGGTATTCCCTATGATTTTCATTTGGGGATCAAAACTAAAACACGAGGCTCTTGGGGCTTGGGCCACAATACTCTAGGAAGTCACTGTCTCTGTCCAATCTAATTAAAATTATTTGTTAGATCCACTTGCATACTCGCTACACAAACATCTAACAACATCTCATTGAGGGTCACGTCAGAGGTCAAATTCTAATCAACCAATCAAATTGTCTCTTGCAAAATCATTGTTTATTTGTTGACGTAATTGAAGAAAATAAGTCTAGGGTTGTTCCGAATTTGAACTCTGAGTGACCCTCTATAGGATGTTGTTAGATGCTAGTGTAGCAATTATGCGAGCAGATCTAACATCTAATTTTGATTAGACTGTGTCTCTGTCACTCTTCAATTTTTTTTTCTTCAATCAAATTTTCCTTTTTTAATTCATTCTAGGAATGAATTTAATAGCTACCCAAGTTATACTGTATATCCTGGGTTGTGCCAGTTTTGGCTTTCTATACAGCGAGGCTTTCATTTCAAAGCAGGTTACACTATTATAACTTGGATAACTATGAAGTTAATTCCTTATAATTTAATTCTCCATCAATAAGTAAAGAAAATAAGACAATTTTTCCTTCAAAAATGCATGCAATTAGTACATACATGTATCTTATATGTAAAATTAAATGGGTTGTTATGTTTGTGACATACATGTTAGTAATTGTGACTTAACCAACACAGGTTATACCATATGACCACTACACATGTATGCTGGACACCCATTGATCTGATCAGAAAAGCTCTATTGCGCCTTTGGCTCATTTGAGCTAAATAGTGAGATTTAAACTGAATTTATATTGTTTACACACTCATTCATCATTTCCAGTTCCTTCTGCAAAGCATCAGACATAGACTCTGCAGCAATATCTTCAACAGCTCTGCCTATCTCTTTCTGTCTTTTGTCCAGCATGGCATGGCTTACAGGTGGTATATTCAGCTCAGAAAGGAGACTGTTGACTTGCGTTGCACCAATACCAACATGTACAATTGCTGTAAATACAAATTCATAAATGTAAAAAAGAAATCAATCTAATCACTTTAAACAAGAAGCTTGTGAAATACAACACTCACCTTAGTCTCATTTATTTTCTCTCTTTATTACCAGAAATTAAAAATAGAACCCATACTTTTAACAAACTAAACCCCTAGGGGTAATGGCAACAAAACTTGAATTGATCTACATTAGGATGATTCAATATCAATATGATTAATACAGTAATAAGGCTTTGCTGTTCTACAGAGAATTTTTTCCATCTGAATAGTCAAGTGGTTAGAACAAATCAAAAAAAGTCCCATTCTAACTTGTTATACCCTTTCTATGATGTGAATATAGGTTCTTTTGTGAATATACAGGCAGACACATGGATAAATAGGAAGCAGACATTGGATTTCTATAAAAGTGAATTCCATCATATGGCATATTGCCAAAACAAGGTGTGACTGTGTGGTAAAACACAAGAGTAAAACAGTATACCAGTACCCACTTCCCTCTCCTTTAAAGCATATTTTGAAAAGTTGACAGACAGATAAATGGAAAAAGATCAGAAAGCTGAAATGAGCCTCTGGCTTCAAGAAGTTAAAAATAGCTTGCCTTCTCATCAAGTTTTTATTCTGAATTAAACATTATCAGGGGCGGATCCAGGAATTGAAGTTAGACGGGCAGGGTTCGACATTAACGTTAGTCCGTTAGTCTCAGACTAATAAGTCTCAGACTAATACATTTTCATTTGGACTAATAAAAGTTGTGGCGTATTAGTCCGAATGGAATAATAAAGTTTTCTGGGGGAAAAAATTACCGAAGTTCTCGACAACTTTCACTGGAAAACCCGTATGTATTTTTAGCTTTCTTGCATCTTGGCGGAAAGTTATGTAATTCTGAGTCAATTCGGCACTTAATTTTAGGACTCATTGGAATGAAATTAAACATTTTAGGGATTATGATTTATTAAGACTCATAAAGAAAGATGTCGGGCATTTGGATGTCGTAATCATTTATAGAGAATAATGAGATCGGGAACACGATCCTAGTTCCTGATCAGGCAATTTCAACAAATATTGGTATAAAACATTTCATGTAAACGCATGCTTTGTTTATTAAAAAAAAAGTATAAAAAGTACCTTGAAATGTAAATTCTATTGTTTAATTATATTTTTGACGGACTCATAAAATTGCCTGTGGACTAATAAAATTAAAGATGCACTAGTCCGGCTAGACCAACGCAGAAAAATGTTAGTGTCGAACCCTGGCGGGTTGGGCGCCAGATTCAGGCAGAAAGGGGTCTGGGGGCCGCCTTGAGGCAAAGCCCTGGTGGGGGCCAAGGGGGCGAAGCCCCCCGAAGCTCTTGGATTCTAGAGGTTTTGTAGGGTAAAAATGAGGTCTACCGAGTAGACATCAGAAACATTTCCTCAACAAAACTATGTTTTATGCTAACTTTGACAATTTCAGGGGGGGGTGCAAATCCGCCACTGATTATATCAATTTATAGATACATATACCTATTTACTGGCTATGAGGACAAAAGCAATTTTATTGTCCCCCAAGACAGCAACAATTTCTCAAGGTGCGTCCAAGTTGCTGTTGAGGGGGACAACAAACTTGCTTATATTGGAATAGACAGGTAAAACTCAATCAGGCTCTTGTGACTTGACAATAATAAATATACATGTAACTGATGTAGGGGATGTGTACGTTAAACTTCTTACCTGCTGATAGCTTTGTATTTACATCCCACACTCTTCCATGTTTTTTCCCCGTTTTTACATGGTTAATATGATTACACTTTGTATTGCTGCAACAGACCTGAAATGTTAATGTAAAATCAATGAATCCATAATTACAGGTCACTGTTCTAAATTCATTCACCATTAATGAAATCAAATGCTTGGGAAAAAAGAATTTAAATATGCATTACTTCAAATTACTTCAAAGAAAAAAATGTAACATCTTTCAAAACTAAAAATATGGATATATGGAATACTGCCTGTTTTATATGGAGAAAAATTCAAGGAAAAACCTTTCAAGGTTGTTTTTATACAAACTGTGCAAAAATTGGTGAGTTCATACCTTTAACAAAGAAGCTAAACCATATGTCAACACAGAAATAGTGTGTGAAAGTTGTAATGGTAAGCCACATTTACAACATCCCCGCAAGCCCTCAGCTAACACTCCAAGTTCTACTACTCTCCTCCCCTCCTTCCAATCCTCAGATGTAGTCACTTCTTCCCCATCCACCACCTCCTCTCTTTCCAGTATATTCAAATTTGGCAATTCTATGAATAATGAATAAAAATTATCACCATTACACATTCTTTATTATCTACTGTAACACATCCTGACTAGTTGACTGTTTAGATACACTTACTAAATTCCAAGAACCAGTTTTCAAAATAATTCATAGTGCCGATATACAACATATTTTTCCATATACCGATATTTCTCAAGATATTCTGAAATCAATCTAAAATATGATCTCCTATTTGCTTGGGCCCCTGGTCATTCACATGTAAACAGACGGTGTATGAGGTGCAGCGAAGAGTTGCATAGCATTTGCAAGATCTTTCAACATTTTAAAGTTGATTTCTTACTCCAGATTGTAAGGTTAAGTAGTCTGTATTAATAAGTTAAAATCTGCATCAACAACTACACCGCCATTTTGATTATGAATGTAAAAGAAGCTATATGGTTGAACAATTTTTTCCCGTAATGCATTATCATGATTATATACCTTTCTATTTTCAAAACAATTAGACCGCTAACATTTTGTTTGTGACTTAGTAAGATCATATGATCCAATTAAAGAAAAATCATGTAAATCTCAAATTCAAATGAGCAAATATTCATTGAGTTTAGAATAGACTTTGGAGAAAATTTGTCCTGTCGTTCCCGCTTAACAATTAGTGTTGGGCCCATTGGCAAGCTGATGTCAATTAAAAAAATTTAGGTCAATTTCGGTATTGATTTCATAATATCTTAAGAAGTATAAGGAATTACGGAATGAAATTTGAAGGAATGAAGATTGTTTATATATATGGATAGATATGGATAAAAAGTAAATTTGTAAAGCATTCAATTTAAAAGAGTTTTATTGGTGAAAGTAGGTACCCTATGAAAAGAGTTCCATACCTTTATTTTTTTTTAACACCTCAATTTTTTTTCTAAGTGATCTAAAGGCCTGTGGGTCAAATGAGTATATCTTTCATCACGTGCAGTGTATTAAAATAAAATACAGCAATTATCTTTGATTAGTATTGTCATGTAAGGTAAGACATCAGCAAATGTAATTTTTTTTTTGTAACAGCTAGGCCTAGTATATATATATATATTATTGAAATCCACATATAACATCATGTATAGTTAAATTTATTATTATCAAATATGATTCAAATTTCCATGTTGCACTTTGATTACAATAGGCCATGTGGTTTTCAATAAAATACCCCCCCCCCCCCCCCAAAAAAAAATTATATTTTTAAAACTTTGTTGTCAATCAGATGAAAACTTGTTTTTATCAAAATATATCTTTGAAAATTCAATTATATACTTGATAAAAACAAGTTTTCAATGTCTTAGTTATGTCATGTTGTTTTTCAATGAAATATTGAGAAAAATTCAATATCTTCTCTTTTGGTGCACATCTTTAACTATTATAATTTTTTTTTTTAATAGCTACACGTAGTCATAGTTCAAAAAGTCTTTAGATTGGACCTGGTATATAAAATGAACATCAACAAATTCATGTACCTCCCTTTAATATATCTAATATTTCTAATAGACCTATGTGTAATCATGGTAATTTAGATGCAGATATGAAAACGAGTCTTTTAGATTACGTATTTTACATGTACAAACCGTGATCGTGATCAACGCTGACAGGGGTTGCACTGGCGGAGTAATTGTGGTCTGTAAGGATAGCTCCCCTAATCCATCGAGTCAATTGCCCTGCAGATACTTTATCATATCTCTCCTTCTGCTTTTTCGAGACGAACCCATGGCGTCTGTACTTTGGTTTCACCATCTCAACCAAAGTTACCGCGCAGACCTTGACTTCTCGTCTGCTTTTTGTTTACATTATCGTAATCCGGTTCACATCCGCGAAATGTAAAATGCTTATTATATGTTTGTTTTCTGGCATAAAAAATCGTCATTATGTTACTTTCTATGGATGATGATTATAATTATTTGTAGAAACTATTAATTCTCTGCCGTATTGAATTCTTTATTATAACGACATTCAGACCAATTTACGGCAGTTCGAGTTGCGCGGTGAATTCAATTTCGTCAGAAGCGAAACACCTTAAGTGTACAATTACATGATATTTGCTACGTTCGAATTCAATTTTTCACTGATTTTGAACTTAAATATCCTTACGTTTCTGTAGTTGAATTATACTTTAAACTGTGTCTGATATTTTTATTAGAGTCGAGAATAAATCAGTTATTGTTTAAAATCTCGGATATCTATGAAACGCGATTGATTTAAATTGTGTAATACTGTATAGTACGGAAGCCCAATAGTGCAAACCAAAAATAAATAAAGAAAAACGAAATTATTAAATAAAGAAAAACGAGATAATTAAATAAAGAAATACGAGATTATTAAATAAAGAAATACGAAATTGTTAAATAAAGAAAAACGAAATGATTTATTTAATAATTTCGTTTCTCTTTATTTAATAGTTTCGTTTTTCTTTATTTAATAGTTTCGTTTTTCTTTAAATATTAATTTCGTTTTTCTTGACTTAATAATTTCGCTTTTCTTGATTTAATAATTTCGTTTTTCTTTATTTATTTTTGGTTTGCACTATTGGGCTTCCGTAGGAAAGTCCTATCTTTATATAAAGTAACAAAACAAATAAAAAGATCTTTTGATTTTTTGTTTAGTCTGAACTTATAAAAAATACGCCATATATGATTTCATTCAACATGAAACGCTGTATATATGCTTATGGTTGCCCTTTCATTTTTCGATTTTTTCCCTCACCTAGCTAGGAATTTTTTTTTGGACCCTATAATATTGTTTATGACGTGGATTAATTATTAAGTAATCCAGCTATCTGGCACATTACATGTATTTTAACTTTTTGTTAAGATAAAGTTCATTAACCTGAAAGTGAACAAAACCTTTTGGGTTTATAGTGGGCATAATTATCATGTGTTAATTTATTTTTAGATCAGATACATGTACACTCTCTCAGTTTTCTTCCCTTTTTTATCTAAAATCCATTCTGTGTGAAATATAGCTGGTACAGGTGAGAAAACGTCTCAGCATTAATGGCCTTCACGACAAAGGTTGAATGAAAAATTCTGGTTGTTTATCTATCAACCGCTATAACGAGGGTATGCTGCGAACATTCAACTTCGATCCCCATTAGAAGAAAATGTATGCAAGCATGCAAAGGAATAAAGATCTATTAATATTTTTTTAAAGAACAGCAAAGGCATTATGTGTCATATTAAAAGCATCCTCAGTTAGTGCAGATCGAAGTTTGTTCAGAGCCTACCCCCCCCCCCCCCCCCCCAAGGACTTTAATATAAAACAAAATATGTTTGTGAAACACTATGTGCCTGGTGGCAACAAAGTTCGAAAAGCTATTTTTAGCATATACAATGTAGGTCACAGTAAAGGTCACAAGGTCATTGACCTTGGTGTCATTCAAAAGAACTTAATTAATGGAGTATGCATATCAAATATGAAGTCTCTATCTCCTATGGTTCAAAGGTTATGGCGAAAGTTCGAAAAAGCTATGTTTAGCATAGAGGTCACAGTC